TCCTAATTTTATGTAAATTTATTGAGTAAGTTTTGATGTAAATAGAGGAAACCTCAAATAGTATTTGTATATTAAGATTTTCCGTCTAAAAAGAAACAAAAACTTTGCCAGCTCACAGGGAAAAATTCAAAAATTTAAGGCGTTTTTCCTCAAAATCAGTTCTTTTGTTGCTACTGCTCAAAAAAATGCTTTAAAATGTATTTGAGGATTATATTTCACAGTTCATTTAAATGATACATTGACAAGGCATTAATTCATTATATTTTGACAAAATGCAATTTTTGCACACATTTAAATCAAAACCCTACATCTGCCTGTTGTCCACTTTTGGACTTAATCCTCGTTTTGATGCGATGGCTCACATTTTTGTATCTGCTTAGCTTTAATTACATTATTCTCGTTTTATGGAGCAAATCTAACAAAACTGTGTATTTATCTTTTAACTTAAAATCTAATCTCTTATCAGATTCATGCTAATTCATTATCAGTGGGTCCAACAAGCAAACGAGGTGCTGATTAATCAATTATAAATCAAATAGTGGGGCGCACACCTCTGGGTCTGGCACAGCGAGGTATGGAGTTCCTAAAAATAATGTTTTATTTTTTAATTCAAGAAGTCACTGGCCTTGGAGCATCACAGATACCTCACATAATTAATTTGTTCTGTCATTTAATTTAAAAACAGATTTTAAATCAGCTTTAAAGGAATGATTCAATGCAGCAAAATAATGTAAACAGTAAAAGCATTGTTAATAGTTTTTCAGAATGCAAAATTATCAGGTGATTATGCAGAATGCAGCCAGACATACAGTGCTTTGTATAAATAATTTAATATTATCAGGTTCTCAATAGTATTTCAATTCAGAGCGGGCATAAAAAATGTTTTCTGGGGGGCAGGACGCACTGAATTAAAGGAATTTTCTGAGAGTCACTGCAATAATAATCAATATTAGCTGTACTTTCTGTAGATCAAATAAGCCTAAACTGAACATCTGCTCATGACAATCATCATCCTTTTACAAAACATTCACTCTGAGTGTTAAAATGTTTAAATCCTGGAGTTGTTCAGCAGTTTTAAACATATGAAACATAAAGTCCCTGCAGAGGTTAGCACGGAGGGGGTTAGAGACCCTCAGCTGAAGCGCTGTGTCTTTGTTTATGATGTGGCCCTGCTCTGTGAGCACACAGTGTGACCTCACAGTGTGACCTTGTGCAGCTTTGAGCTGTCTCAGCAGAGCGTCTGGCTGCAGCGGCTGACGCGGGGAGACGGCCGCCTGTTCGGGCACAGAGGGTGTATGTAGGTCAGCCACGAGCCTGCACCGTGCAGCCGGACGGGGATTGGAGTGGACAAAGAGTCGGTGTGGTGCGGGGAGAGGAGAGGAGGCCTCCCTCACACGTCAGCAGAGATACTTTCTCCTTCCTCCATAAACACTTTGACATTATCAGGCCACACCGAGCAACGTCCGCCCCGATTATTCTCACCTTTGCTCCTGCCACAAAACGAACAGAGCTGAGAAAATGGACCATCAACACACAAGGCAAACACCTCTGTGTTTTAAATTATTATATGTTAGGATTAGGTTTTTATTTTAACATAAATGTCACTTTCAATATAAACACTGTGAGCAGATACGTCTTTATGCATGTTTTTATTAAAAAATGAATCGTTGCTCTAAAGTTGTCATCCTGTAAACGATGACACACTGCCCTCTAGTGGCCAAACCCATGAAACTCAGAAGGTGTTTGGGAATAAAATCAAAGTTCTGTAACAACTAAAATCAGCTTTATATCCTGTTTGAGGTGATGCTGGGTTGACAGATGGTTTCCAACAGAGGAGTGGACATGAACACGACGGCTCCTTCACTGTGTGAAATGTTTTAAAGCAGGAGGATGAGAGCGGCTCATCGGTTGTAAGGATGCATGGAGCCAGACGCAGACTTGATGTTGGTCTTGATGCTGCTCGGCATCTTTCCTGCAGGAGAAAACAAAACAAATCATCAACTTTAATTGTTCTGTGTTTGCTTTCTTTCTTTCTAATTTTTTAATCAAATCAATCAATGTAAATCAATTTATAACAGATATTATCTTATTGTTGAAGCTTGTTTGTTGCAGTTGTTTTTGCTTTTTAAATAAGGCGCAGATAAAATAAGATTTTTTCCTTCACTTTGCCCCCTTTTCATTCACATGATTTACTTTTTACTTGTATTTACTGTACATGGATTGTTTTGTTTTTATGAATGAAATAAACAAAAAATAAAATATTAAAAACAACAGAAATTTTGACAAAATCTCTAAATCATCTGTTCTCTTTTTTGTCACATTTATAGTTTTAAATATTTTCCAGATGGGTACTGATGTCTGAATTTTTGCATTTGTTTTATTAAATGTCTGTTTTTAGGTCTGACAGTTTCTAAGTGCTGTAATATTTTAAAGTGCCTGTGATGTCAAATTTTTGTAATACATATAAATGTATTTTTTGAAAGAGGACATTGATAAAAATACTTTAAAAGAAATTTCATGTCGCTGAGATGAACAGTTGTTGAGATATTTGCCTGTGAAGAAACAGGAAGTGATGTCAAAGGGGAATGTCTGCATGTGAACAGTGTTGTTACAACAGCTAACAAACCAGACTGTAGAGAAAAATCTGATGTTTAAGTTTATTTTGAGTCACTAGCAGAGAGATGAAGAAGAGTTCAAATAATATTTTTTCAATAAACAAAGACCAGAGAGTTTCCTTTGTTAAAGAGTTCCCCTTTGATGTCACTTCCTGTTTTACTTTGGCTGATCCAAGTTCAAAAGAAAATATGACAGCTATGGGACAAAATGGGTTAAATTGTGTGTATTATTCCAACTTTCATAAATATAAAGATGTTTTCTTTGACTTTTTGTATTTGAAGTATATGATGTCACAGGTACTTTAAAGGTTCAATACAAACTCATTCCATTCCTTTTAAATCTGTTACAACTAAACTAGAATCCAACACTTTGTGTTCTGGGAAATGGAAAAAAAATTAATAAATGCTGAAAAAAGCTTTGTGTAAAACAGGGTATCTGCAGGTTTTAGCAAGTCAAAATTAAGGAAATTAAGACTTTTAAAAACTTTTAATGCCACCTTGACAGAAAAAAATACAAATATAAGTGATGTTTGGGGGAGACAGAAATTTAAATGCTTCTACCAGACAAAATTTAAGACCTTTGAGTAACATATTTAAGACCAACTTCCACATTTAACTAATTTAAGACTCTGTAAAGTCTTAATTTTAGATACATGAATTTAAGAATTTTTAAGACTTTTTAAGGACCTGCAGACACACTGTAAACTGTTAAACACTGAATGCAGTGATTTGCAAACACAAAAACCCACATTTTATGTGTAAATCACAAAGCTGCAAGAGACTGAAAACACAAAGTTTGGGACAGGAGCAACACAAAGTAGTAAAAGTAAACGTAAAACCCATCTAAATGACGCCTTTTAAAGAAGCTGAATCTCTCAGGTTTACTACGCTACAAAAACTACTCCCTAAAGATGATTTCTGAGGAAACTTGGAAGACTGAACATCCCATCATTTACAGATTATAAACATGACTCACGTTACAACTATTTTAAATTATTTTTCTTTTCAAATTTCTTAGTTGAAACATTTGGTAGTGAAGTGGCAGGTTCTTTAGCTGTTAGACTACCATATTTTTCGGACTATAAGCTGCACCCCCAACATGAAAAAAAAAAACAGTGCACCCAAAATTGTCGTCAAAAAAGTGAATTCAACATCAAAACATAAAAAGCAAACCTTTAGGAATTAAAGTTCGGAGGAATAAGGTTCATATAACTGACCTTATTTTGGTAATTTTCTTTAACAGTTTCTGGTCCAACAAAACGTCTCATTCATCTTCCTCCGGCGCACTGAAACCATCGAAGTCCTCTTCAGTGTTGGAGTTAAACAAGCTGAGAAAAGCTGCGTCACACAGCGGGATCTGTTGTCCTCCCGGGGTAATGCTGGCTCTGAAGCTGTGGTGTCCTCTTCACGTAGCAGTCCAGCCTTTCAGAACCAATTGGTGATGGTGGACTCATTCACTCTGCTCCACACTGTTAGGATCCACTGGCAGACATCAGGAAATGACTCTCTTCACATTCGGCCAGTTTTTGTGAATGATTTATCCCCGTCAGTCATCCAAGCCTCCCATTCAGCCCTGAGTGCTGCTTTAAATGCACGATTTACACTGATGTCCAGGGGTTGCAAAAACTTTGTTGTACCTCCAGGAATAACAGCAGGAATTGAGTTTGTTTTCTTGATGGCTGCTTTCACCGAGTCCGCTATGTGGGCCCGCATACTGTCCAATATCGTGTCTGTCGAAGATCCGTCGTGTTGTGTCTGCTACTAGCTAAAACAAAATGGCGCTACACCTCTGGCTAAGCTGGCAGTATGGTCACTCAGCTGTTGACCGGTCGACGCACCGTCACGTGGTTGTTCTGCGTTTGTTTTCGCACTGATCTTTCATAGTTCCCCCAAGAAACCCCGAGCCGAACTGCTGGGAAAGCCCTCCCGCTCCAGCATACGTCACTGCATGGGATTCCTTCCCCGGGGAGTGCAATGAGAAAAAAAAAGTCAGCAGCTCTTCACTCGACGCTTATCCACAAACTGGTCCTGGATTAAGCTCCAAAGTTATTATCAGTCAGATTCCACCGTGAAAAATGTCTGTTTTATCCCCTTTTATGAGTTTTTGGCCATTGACTATCTTTAAATCGCTGCTTCCTGGTACAACAGTTGGCTCTGGAAGCGATCGCTTTTTTTCTTTTTTCTTCGTTTTTGAAGCGAGTGGTTGAAGCAAATGGAGCATAAGAGTCCCCTGGTGGCTGAAGAAAAAAATCCACGTATAAGCCGCACCGGACTATAAGCCATATGGTTCAAAGTTCAGGAAAAAAGTCGCAGCTTATAGTCCGAAAAATACGGTAAGTTGTGTAAGCCAGATACTTTCTGTTATAAACAGTTTTCCATATTTGGTCAGGAAAGTTCTGAACAGCAGAAAAGTTAATAGTTAATAGAACAGTTTTCCAAATATGGAAAATTGTTTATAACAGAAAGTATCTGGCTTACACAACTTAGTCCAACAGCTAAAGAACCTGCCACTTCAACAGGATTATTATAAAACCGTGATAAATTATGGGATTAACAGATATGCAAATCACTGAATTCTGTTTTAATATTTTGCACTTCGTCCCAACTTCTGTGGAATCAAAGTTGTATTTCTTTTCCCCCCACAGCAAACAGAACATTTTACCTTCTTTCTTTGTATTTTATAATTACAAACTAAACAGTTTCTATAAAAATGTGACCACATCTCTGAAAAACCCAAAAACGTTATAGTGACACTTCATTTCCCACAGTGAACCTACGCAAACAGCTGCACTTGAATATTTCACACTTCATATTAAAGTCTCATCAGATATTTTCTCCACACTGGTTGGTGCAGCTCTGCTGGATGCTCTGATCCTGAACCAGGTCTCCTACCTGGCTGGCCTTGCTGCTGTGGAGCCACAGGTCCTCCTAAACCCGCCTGCTGGCCGGCTCCGCCCCCTATGGTGACCTGTTGTAAGGTTGGCCCCCCGCTCATGAGAGGCCCCTGTCCTGGGTGACCCGGAGGCACAGGACCAGGAGGCCTACATTTGGAGAGTCCCTTCCCAAAAGCAACAGCTGCGACCAACGCATTCGTGTCCCCGGGGTTAAAAAAGGCCTTGTTCTGTCGGGACCCTGGAGTCACAGATAGAAGAGGAAAATATAGAATTATGGTAGTTTTTCTCTGGATAGAAATGAAACAAAGTGAAACTCACCTGCAGTTTCAGCCTCTCTGTCTTCACGAGGGTTGTTCAGCTTCTCCAGTAGATTCGAACACATCTTATTCAGTGTTTGGATCTGTTTCTGTTCACACATTAAAACAAAACAGAGTGAAAAGGTAGAAAAATAACAAGCAGAAACCACCGTCTGAAACTCACCTGAGCCACGTCAGGACCGATCCGCGCCGCCTCCGTGCTCAGCTGCTTCTCCTGCTCCTCCACCTCCGGGTCAGGTTTGGTCCTCAGGTAATCTGGGACAATCTCATGGCTGAACACCGGGACTCGCTGCTCTGTGAGTTTCTGAGAGGCGGATTAAAAAAATGAAATCATGAGGAAACCTGTTGTCCTATGAAACGACAAACTGTGAGAGACACTTACTGCTAAATCCTCATCTCTGTCTGGAGACAGGAGCAGCGGGATTATAAGCTGGCTGCGAAACGAGGGCGTCTTCTCATTCTTCAGCAGCTTATTGATGGTGTTCAGCTGGCCTGAGAGGAGAGCAAAGTTGTCCAAGACAGACGGCCTGGATGGTAGAAACACAACCAGCAGCACGTTTTATCAACACCATCGACACTCAGTGTGGTTTTAAAATAACACTGAAGATTCATTTGAACATAGAAATTTACTGCAAAAATGCTTGTGTGAATGCTTCGTGATGAAAACTTCAGCTGAAAGCTGCGGAAACTGAGCTGAAAATATTTAATAGGAAAAGTGAGAGCTCATTTTGAAAAGCTGAAAAAAAGCAAACAAGCTTAACTTTGCAGAAAAACAGTAAAATGGAGCACAAATCTAGTTGAAACCAGAAAACAGCTAAAAGCTAAAATATCTGAATATAGCTGAAAACATCTGTAAGAATCATAAATAGCACTAGGTAGCAGAAAAAATGCATAAATGGGCAGAAGAACAGCAGAAAGAAGCAGATCTATAGCTAAAGTAGCAAAAATAGCTAAATTAGCATAAAATAAGCTAAAGGTAGCAGCCACAATTTGAAATTAGCACCCAGTTGAAATACGTGTAGTTGAATAATAGCTAAAACAAGAAAAAAAATCAGAAAAAATAAAATAAAATTACACAAAAGTGATAACTAAAACAGCTGAAATTTTCAGTAAAACAGCTGAAAAGAGCCGGAAATGTTTTAATTAGCATAAGAAAGCATATGCTGAACTCAGTTGAAAAAATTTGTAATAGCTACAAAAAATGTGTATTTACCTTTGAAAAGCTAACGTCAGCTAATAGCAGCTAAAATTAGCCAAAATTTCAGCAAATAGCTGAATATAGCAGAAAGCATCTGTAAGAAGCCTAAATAGCACAAAGTAGCAGAAAAAAGCACAAGAAGGTAGAATAAAGCAGAAGAATAGCAGAAAAAGCTGAATTTTAGCTGAAAAAAGGAAAAAAAAGCTAAAATAAAAAGGTAGCTAAAATTAACACAAGAAAGTGAAAAAGAGCATAACCAGAAAATAAATGTGTAAGGTGCTGTAAAGATTTTGTAACTTTTTATGTTGAAAACAGCTCCATGCATTTTAATGACAAAAAAGTGGCTAAAAAGGTGAAATAGCTAAAAAAGTATAAAAAGCTGAAACACCTGAAGTCATAGCACCCCTCACATGAACGAGCTGAACGTTTTGATATATGAATTGTTGAAGTGGCACAAAAACTGTGTAACGGGTTAGATGCTGAAAATCGTACGGAAGAAAAAATGATGTCAATAGTGTGAAAGCTGTTAAACGTTCACACTTTTATAAATGTTCACTCTACAATTAAAACCAAGTGATGAACAGAAAAAAAACATGCTCTTTCACTTCTAGGGTTTAGGAATCAGGACAAAAGCAAATAAATATTTTCTTCTCCAGTGATTCAAATCTCACCTGAAGTGAACAAAAACACAACACAAATTGCACTTTAACTGCACCGGTTCTGCTTTTTATTCTTCTTTCTGTCGCTCTGTTGTAGCTGCTGATCATTTGTTCTGTTTCACCATGACCCAGATTGTTCAGAGCTTCACCCGTCACACAAAAGCTTTTATATTAGAATGCGTTGTTCTACAGAGGAGTTAAAACTGTCAGCTTGTGTTATATGAACTGGACCGGTCTGGGTCTTGTCTCTGGATTTTATTCCTACACCAGTCAAAACCACAATTCTGGAAATATCACTAAATTATGAGAAAATTGTCTGATTTGTTAACATCTTTGCTTTCATTGGATGTAAAACGTACTGATTCAAATCAAAGCCTGACTCATTACTAAATACAGATTTTTGTTTCACAAACGTGACGAACTCCAAGAAAGTCTGCAGAAATTTCAGTGATACAGTTCAGCTACAGAAACCATACAGAATAACAACATGCAGGAGAAAACACACAGTGAATTATAAAGTTCTTCTCTTCCAGAGGCCGTGGGGACGACGTCAAACTTTTATTATCACTTAGAAAGGAAGCACAAAGAAGGGTTAGCTACAGCAGGTAAAATAAGTATTGAACATGTCACCATTTTTCTCAGTAAATATATTACTAGAGGTGCTAATGACATGAAATTTTCACCAGATGTTGGTAACAACCCAAGTGATCCATACATACAAAGAAATCAAACCATAAATGTCCAGAAATGAAGTTATTTGTAATAATGTGGAATGGCACAGGGAAAAAGTATTGAACACACTTACTGAAATTTATCTAATACTTTGTACAAAAGCCTTTGTTGTCAATGACAGCTTCAAGACACCTCCTGTATGGAGAAACTAGTGGCATGCATTGCTCAGGTGTGGTTTTGGCCCATTCTTCCACACAAACAGTCTTCAAATCTTGAAGGTTTCGTGGACCTCTTCTATGAACTCTGATCTTTAGTTCTTTCCATAGATTTTCTGTTGGATTCAGGTCAGGTGATTGGCTGGGCCATTCCAGCAGCTTTAGTTTCTTTCTCTGAAACCAACTGAGAGTTTCCTTGACTTTGTGTTTGGGCTCATTGTCTTGCTGAAATGTCCAGCCACGTTTCATCTTCATCATCCTGGTAGATGGAAGCAGATTTTTATCAAGAATGTCTCTGTACATTTTTCCACTCATCCTTCCTTCAATTATTTGAAGTTTGCCAGTACCATATGCTGAAAAACAGCCCCACACCATGATGTTCCCACCTCCAAACTTCACTGTTGGTATGGTGTTTTTGGGCTGATGTGCAGTGCCATTTGACCTCCAAACATGATGTGTATTCTGGCATCCAAACAGTTCAATGTTGGTCTCATCTGACCAGACTATATTCTCCCAGTATTACACAGGCTTGTTTAAATGTTGTGCAGCAAACTTTAAAGGAGCTTCAACATGCTGTTTCTTCAGCAGTGGAGTCTTGCGTGGTGAGCGTGCATACAGGCCATGGTGGTTCAGTGCATTACTTATTGTTTTCTTTGAAACAATCGTACCTGCTAATTCCAGGTCTTTCTGAAGCTCTCCACAAGTGGTCCTTGGCTCTTGGACAACTCTTCTGATAATTCTTTTCACTCCTCTGTCAGAAATCTTGTGAGGAGCACCTGGTCGTGGTCGGTTTATGGTGAAATGATGTTCTTTCCACTTCTGAATTATGACCCCAACAGTGCTCACTGGAACCTTCAGAAGTTTAGACATTCTTCTGTAACCGATGCCATCATTATGCTTTGCAACAATAAGGTTGTGAAGGTCTTGAGAGAGCTCTTTACTTTTACCCATCATCAGATGGTTCTTGTGTGATACCTGGTCATCATTTGGGACTGAACCAGCTGATATTAACTTGCATTGACAAGGGGCAGGCTTGCTTTCTAATTACTGAGAGAGTTCAGCTGGTGTCTTGGCTTTCCATGCCTTTTTACACCTCCCTTTCTTCATGTGTTCAATACTTTTTCCCTGTGCCATTCCACATTATTACAAATAACTTCATTTCTGGACATTTATGGTTTGATTTCTTTGTATGTATGGATCACTTGGGTTGTTACCAACATCTGGTGAAAATTTCATGTCATTAGCGCCTCTAGTAATATATTTACTGAGAAAAATGTTGATGTGTTCAATACTTATTTTACCCGCTGTATGTGGAAGTGATGTAAGCAAAGCTAGCTAGCTAACGTTAGCAATCTTCCTCTGCACCAAATTCTTTACCCAGTCATCACAAAAATTTATAAATATAAAGTTAAATACCTGCAAACATTATACTGTATGTTTTAAAGCACTAGTAGCTTCTGTCTTTTCTGGTCTTTGTCTTGGTCTCAGGTTAGGTGGTCTTGACTACAACCCTACCATCAACCCTCCACCACCGTGCCTGAAGGCTGGTATGAGGTGTTTGTGCTGTGCATTATGGTTAAAGATCTGCACTTTGATGCGTCCAAAGGACCTTGTTCCAGAGGAAACTTTACAAACGAGTCATTTTGCAGCGATGTTTTTCAGACTGAAGAGTTCTTCTCTTTCAAACAAGCCACTCCTGTTAGTCTATTTCATGAACTTTAACCTTTAACCTGAACTGGGTTCAGTCAGAGATGAAATTATTGGTTTTATTTAGTATTTTCTCTGAGTTTTACACAATCTGATCTTTGGGTGAATTTTTTTGGGACGTCCACTCCTGAGAAGATCAGCAGAGGATGTTTAAAAGTTTTTTTTTTTTCATAATTCTATTCAGAATGATGCAGATCAACAATCTGACAAAACATCTCCTTATATAAAGAAGCTCTCAGTGATTATGATTAAATACATTTTAAAGCAGCACCTGGATGTTCATGAACCTCTTAAGTACAGACTTGTTTTTTCAGACACGACTATTGACTTTTTGGTTTAGATTTTGTTTAACAGATGGTTTTGTTTAATAAACAATAACGTGATGAAATCTGTTGTGTGTTTTGGTACACACGAGGTTTGAATCATTCCAGAAGACCAAGTATTAACACTGCATGCATTCCAAATCTACTTTCTGTGCTCCATGCTGGATGAAGCGAGCAGTTGTTAAAATAATAAAAGCATGTTTTAGTCACCAGGTCAGTCTCTCGTATTCATTTTCCAGCTTATAAATGAAACTCTGGAGGGAGTTTTTGACGTGATCCACCAGAGAGATGAGTGAATCCACTGAGGCTTCCAGCTGCTTCTCTTCTCGTTGCTGAAACACAAGAAAGCCTCTTTATGAAATGACAACAAACAAAGCACATTTCAAAACAACTTCTTAGGGTTAGCGGAAGCTAAATCAATGCTAGCTTTGTAAGCTAACGCTAAACACTAATTCAACATTTCTTTTAACAACAAACGCAGTATACAGGTTTTCTTATTTCAGAAAAACACTAACTTTGGGATGTATCTCACTGTTCTTGTTTTTTAAGCAATATATAAAATGCACTAACGTTACCTGCATTGTTGCGCTACACGCTAGCCAGCTGTCTTCCCTGACATAAACCCTTTTCCGGATTGCGACTTTCAAAATAAGAGCTCACGTTTTTCTCTATAATCAGGAGCTGCAGCTGCCAAACATAATGTTCCCGTCTTATCGCCAGATACCCGTTTTACGCACAGCATTAAAAAAAAAAAACGTTTAACTATATATTATATATACTGGAAAGTAAATCGACTGGGTGTGTCCTTATTTTCTACCTCCAATTTGAGTGATTCCATATTTTTTTCCTCAGAATTGAGTGATTCCATATTTTTTTCCTCAGAATTGAGTGATTCCATATTTTTTTCCTCAGAATTGAGTGATTCCATATTTTTTCCCTGTGCTTGGTCAATAAAAGTAACATTCACTGACTTCCACAATGTTTTCTCATCATTTCTTTGAGTGTTCCTGAAAGCCAACAAGTCGCACTTTGGAATGACCTTATTATTGTATCATGTTTTTGATCTGAGGTTGTTTTACAGAATGAAATGTCTGAATGAGTGCTCATCCAAGACTGCTGATTCCATACTTTTTGCCAGGGGTTGTGTAATCAATTTATAATCGCAGTTTTAATTTCTCACAACAGGTCATAGAGCTTTATAGAAACGTAGGCTCCAGAGACTTATGGGGGCCACCCAATTGTTGAGAAAACTAGGTCCCACAGCAGTGAAAAATATACTTGGTCCAAATTAAACAGTAAATAAAAAGCCCCATGATGTATAAATTGTAAGCAGACTGTGAAAGTAGAGAAGAGTTTGCAAAAATTGAAGATAACTCAAAGCTCAACTGTGGTAAAATCTCAAAAACTTCTAAACAATACGGTGATTGTGTTAACATTGTTAAAAATAGCAGTTTAATTATGTAAAGTCCAGCCTCCAGTGACCCGTTGGTGTTTCTGCTGTGAAGAATGCTACTGAGATCCAATAAAGTTTTGCCAAAACCTCATTAGTGTCTAATGAGATATTTTGGTTTTTAGTAGATTTCATCTACATTGTATGTGTCCCAACCAAGAGTCATTAAACACTATATTTCTATGACCCAACAAAACTACAAGGAGAACAGATGTTGCCACCAAAACATTTTATTTTGATAACAAGAAAAAAAATCCATCAGCTTTTTAGTTGAAGCAAACTGGTTACAGTCTCTAAAAGCAGGATTACAGGTTAAGGTTCTCGGTTCCTTTAGTGCATTTTTACTTTGACATCATCATGTCTCTACATGTATTAGCTTTAAACTTGTGTTAGGCACAGATTGAGCAGGAAGCCAGTTCTTCTAAAACCAGGTTCAACTGTATGAAATGTTAGAAAACACAGAGAGGGTTTAGTAGTTTCTATGGCACAAATGATGGAATGAAGGTAGTGAGTAAATGAATCCATTCAGAGTTTAAATGAGTAAACTTGATCCAGTTAGAAGTATTCCTCTACGTCGCCCATTTCCACAACCACCGTCTTCAGCTGGGAGAAGTACTCGATGGTCACCTGACCGTTCTCTCTGCCGAAACCTGTCGCATCACAATTGAGTTGCAGTGATTTCACTTCTTGAAGCAAACACCAGAGACCTTACTCTGACCAGTTCAACCTTCCAACACCCTACCTGACATCTTATATCCTCCAAACGGCACTTCCACAGGGCTGATGTTGTAGTTGTTGATGAAGCAGGTCCCCGCCTCCAGCTTCTCTGCCATGCGGTGAGCTCGAGATATGTCCCTGCAGGCGCATGAGAACAACCCATTTCACGTGGTCAACCATTGACAGAACTCGTTACACAACAATACTTGGAAGTCTTGGACAGCAGAGTGTCAGAAGATAAAGCAGTAAACTCCTTATCTTCAAAGGCAGAGCGTCAAAGATTAGTCGAGTCAGGAATGCTCACCGGGTGAAGACTCCAGAGGCCAGTCCGAAGGTGGTGTTGTTGGCCCTCTGGATCACTTCCTCCTCTGTGTCAAACGGCAGGACGGACATGACCGGACCAAAGATCTCCTCCTTCACGCAGGTCATGTCGTCTCTGCAGTTATCTGAGAACAGAGGAGCGGTGAGCAACACTCAGGGATCAAACTGGCGAAGGTACAAAACGAACGTCTGGACGTACCAAGAACACAGGGTGACATGTAATAACCCCCCTTCAGTTTGGGGTCATTGAGGACTAAAGGCTCTCCTCCACAAAGCACTTTGGCTCCCTGAGAAAACAAACATCATTTAGAGACGGGGGTGTACATCAGCAGCTTTATCACAATAACTTATACTGATTTGTTTGGATGACAATGTGATGTTTTGATATTAAAAAAAAAGTTGGTCATGATACGACTGTGTCAGACTCAAGCGGTGACTTCTGTCCGGCTTCCCAATGAAAATTTTACATTTACTTTTATTATTTAATGCAACAAAAACAAATTAAAAAGGTGAAAGATAACACTTGTCCTGCCCGAGCTGTTGGCTTTCAGTAACTGTGGCCCCCTGAGTAATTTAAATAACCCATCGACCATAAACTATTTCTCCCATAATGCCTGTCGATTATGCACGAAAAGTTCAGAATTCAAGACTTACAACTCAGTGATGAAAATTCATACTTTTAATAGTGTTTCTGTATTATTTATTTCACATTTAGTCAGCGTTTATAAGAGGATGTATTAAAACACTGTTTCTATGCAAGGAAAACCACATAGAGCTCAGTTATTGCAACAATGAGACGAGGTACGTGATGTTTTGTGTTTATGTTGAAGTTAATCACAACTGGCTGTTTGAGGACCACCATCATGCTCATGTGGCCCTCAGTGAAAATGAGTTTGACAGCCTGACATAAAATATATGGATCCACGTCAGGCATTATTTTTGTTTTGTCTCAATGTAATTTAATCAATCATTTATTTAACATAATGTTTTTAACACAGCCCTATTCAGAGAGCTGAACTCTTTGGTTACACACCTGCTCCTTGGCCTGACTAATGAACCCCAACACTTTGTCCAGTTGGGGCTTGCTGATCAGAGCTCCCATCCGGGTGGTGTCGAGCAGGGGGTCACCAACCAGGATGGCCTTGGTCTTCTTGACCACTTCTTCCAGAAACTGTGGCAAGATCTCCCTCTGCACAAACACCCTGGTCCCATTGCAACAAACCTACACATTTGGAAAAACAAAGAGTTCCCAGAGATTGATCCTGGGTCTGGGTGAGGTCAATAACAACAATCCAAACATGACTCAATCTGTGCGTCTCACCTGCCCCTGAGTCAGGAAGTTAGCCATGAGCGCCCCCCTCACTGCGTTCTCCAGCTGGCAGTCTTTGAAGATGATAAGGGGAGACTTCCCTCCCAGCTCCAGAGTCACCTGCTTCACCCCCTTTGCAGACATTTCCATGACCTGAGAGGAAAAACAACAGTGTTCTCACTCTGTAACACATCTTAGCAGCTCTTCCTGCATACGGTCAGAAGACACAGGGTTATTTACTGGGACACAACTTGATCAATTTAATCTTATTTTAGGTCGTGTCTAAAAACACATCTTGCTATGTACTGTATGTCAGAATGCATCAGACAGCCTGTGTACCTTCTTGCCGGTCGGGACACTGCCAGTGAAGGTGACTTTGGCCACCTTAGGGTGCTGGCAGAGCAAAGAGCCCGTCTCTGCTCCACCTTGGACCACACAGAAGAGCCCATCAGGCACCCCTGCTTCTTTGTAGATCTCAGCCAGGATCACAGCCGTCACCGGAGTCATGGGAGAGGGCTTGAACACCATGGCATTACCTAGGAAAACAACCAGACTTTAACCCTGCATGGTCACCCCCATCTGAACCTCTTGTGTTCACATTGTTCTTCTGATGTGTATTTTTATTTATTGTTTTACAGCTCAGTTAGGAGCTGGGTGTTTTGACTTTCTTGGTTTTCTAACTAATTTAAAATATTTTACATTAATAAAATTAAAATACACACATTTTCCTCACAAGAAATACAACAAGATCCCTTCAATGCACTCAAAAACATTTTCTTTTAAACCTCAGTATATCTGCTCCATTTCTCTTATAAAGCTAATTTTAGCTTTTAGATAGCCTTTAGCTATTTTCAGCTACAGTTGTACTATTTTGACTAGCTTTATGCTACATTTAACAACTAGACCTTTGCTACTTTTAGCTTTAAACAAGCACTTTATCTACCTTGCTACTTTTAGCATCTTGCTAGTCTTTTGCTACTTTTAGCTAGCCTTGTGCTATGTTTAACTACACCTTTACTACTTTTAGCATCTTGCTAGTCTTTTGCTACTTTTAGCCTTTAGCTGTGTTAACAAAACCTTTGCTAGTTTTAGTCTGGCTAGCCTTTTGCTACATTTAACTAAACCATTGCTACTTTTTGCTTTTAATAAGCACTCTTATTTTTTTCATTTTTCTAGTTTTAGCTTCTGACTAGGAATGTGCGATATGGCAAAAAATTCACATCACAATATACATTATGATGGGTGGCGGTAACGATATATATCACGATATAAAACTTATAATAGAAAATAAACAAATCACACATTAATTGAGTGGAATAAATATGTATAGATAAAAAAATTTAGACCTTAAAATCTCCTTTTTTAAGGGACACTTTAAGGTCTCGCATAAAAATCTAAATTTAAGGGAGACCTACCTGGTTAAACCAAATTATACTACATCCACTGGATGTTGTGTTTGGAATCACCTGCTTTGTTTAAAGGTGGTAAAACAAATTGTTTGTATTTATTCCTTTCTACACACTATGCAGATTATTTTTTTTGCACTCAACGTGTTTAATCTGTGCGTGCTCTGGCAGGGTGACAATCATCCCGTTTATGCTTTTTTTTTCCGTCACCCTTTCCCACAGCACTTCCCCGCTGTACAAGGAGACAGTAAAGGCTGAGTTTTATAGTCGAGCTTTGGAGTGCGCGCGCATTCGGCCGTGCGTCGTCACGCTATGACCGCAGGAGAAACGAGGTCCAGACTCAGCGAGCTTTTGTGAGTCCTTGAGCACAACTTCACCTGCACTGACCTCCCGCAGCAGGCAGTGTGGTCGGTCAGCATCCGACCGGAGGAAGCGCCGTCACGTAAATACGTAAACAGTTCGGCGTTCATTTTCACACACCCAAACCAGGTCCGGATAAGTTATGTTTTATTTTCCTCCCTCTTTATTTGCGCTCTCAGACACGCTGCTTCCTCTGTTTTGACTCCAGCTGGTTACATCATCAAAAATAATTGCGCGGTTGACCGGTAGACTACAGACCTCTATCATAGGACAAATTTATATAGTTTCTACCGTATATCATTTATATCGCGCATTCCTACTTCTGACTAATCTTTAGCTGATTTTAGCTAGCATATTGCTACTTATGACATTTAGTCATTATGCTTCTTTAGCAGATTTAAACCTAATCATTCAGCACTCAGCATTTCTCCAGGTCCTCCTGGATTTCACAAGTCTAAGAAACAAACTTTGTCAGCAGTGTTCTCAGGTTAAAAAAAAAAATAAACAAATAAAAAGCTACAATATTCAGTGAGCAAACTAAAGTTTGACTTTTTTTTCCCCAGTAGATCAGAGTCAGCTCAGGTATGACCTCTTCCTCAATTCAGGGCAAAATGAGAAGATTAAGAAAACCCATCAGTGAATGATGAGGAATTCTCACAGACACTTTTTCTAAACGGGCGACATGTTCCACACAGCTACACACTCACCAGTTCCACACAGCTACACACTCACCAGTTCCACACAGCTACACACTCACCAGTTCCACACAGCTACACACTCACCACATGCCAGAGCAGGAGCAGACTTCCAGGCAGCAATCTGGAAGGGGTAGTTAAAGGCCCCGATGGCTGCACACACACCGAGGGGCTCCCTCCTGGTGTACGCAAACGCTCCGCCAGGAAGCTGGATGTGCTGACCTGCAACCAGAGACAACACAATGATCAAATGTTCCTAAAGGAAAGCATACTGCCTGCTGCTTGTTAAACCAGAGTGTTAAAACTAAGAGTTTTATGATGAGGACGATGTTACATGTGCATTATTTACCAGGTTTGACCTGATTGTGTGTGATACTGTCAGATGTGTCAGCACTTGAAATATGTGTTGAAAACTTTAGCTACCACACCAAATTTTAACTTGTATTTTTAAAGCTGGGTCACAGCCACACTTGTGTTAGCTAAGGTCGATTATCTGTGGCGGCCATCTTGAACTGATTCCAAAAGTTAACCAGTTGCAGACATTTATCCAGTGAACACCTTCAGGGTGTGTCATTGAAAGCTGGGCCGATGCCAACATTCTGAGCAGAACTTAACAAAAAACAAATTTCAGCAAAAATATTTAAAAAGCAGTTCTGTTAGAGAGATTCATGTGTGGGATAATTGTTGTGAAAAGTTAAAACTTGACTGTATACTGGATTGAAGTCTGGGGTAAAGCATGTAAAACAATCACAAGTCCTATTTTCATTTTACAGAAAAGAGCAGTAAGAATTATCACCAGAAAACATTAGTCACCCTTCGAATATATTATTTTGTAAATTAAAATTATTAAAATTTTACGAGTCGGTTGGTTATAATATTTTGCAGCTTATGTATAAGGCTCATAAAAAATGTTGCCTTTAAACATCCAGTTATATTTTGTTAAGAGAGAAAGTTCTTGTAAACTTAAAGGACTTGAGATGTTCATTAAACCTAAAATTCAAACAAACTTCAAGGACTAATGTACTTCGGTTCAAGGAATAAGATTGTGGAATAATCTTGAAAGTGATTATAAAAACGCCGGTTCAATGTATTTGTTTAAGAAAATGATAAAAATAAGTTTGTTACAGAAATATGAAATTGTATAGCGTATATCAAAAGTTGTTGTTTGAGAAGGAATTGAAGCTTTTATTCAGTGTGCATTGCCAATGCAACGCACACTATTGTGATTCATTTCCCATCCAAGTCATCTCCACTTTGCCATGCTTCTCCTCCTGCATACTTTGTCCTAGAGCTGCCATTGTAATTTATATTTGTAAAGCCCCTGTGCCAAATGATGGCTATGCCTTTTGGTGCCTGTAAAACTTATAGTTTTGGAAATATCAATGTTTAATAAATTATAATGGCAGTCAATGGAGCCTTGTATTGGTCCAATACTGCCCCCTGCTACATCTAC